CAGACTCTATCACTGAGAAGGAAAAAGAGGAGAACAGTCACTGTGCCCCTGACTCAGAAATGCAGCAGATTCTCGCACGAGTTCGGCAGAACTTTGGCAAAATCAATGTTGTGCCTCAGTTTTCTGGGGATGACTTGGTTCCTCTAGAGGCGTCAGATATTGATGAAGAGCTTGGGAGCTTTTCTGCAGAGGAGGAGGAGGAACAGGAGGGCTCAGGAGATGAGGAGGAAGAGGAGGAGTCTGCCCCAGAATCCCAGGAAGAAACCCAGGGAAGCGATACCAAGGCAGTTATTCAAGCCCTGGATGAAAAGATTGCTAAATACCAGAGGTTTTTAAACAAAGCGAAAGCTAAAAAGTTTTCAGCAGTCAGGTAATACTTTCATTTTTTCTCACGAATTTCAGTTTGCTTGTCTCTTTTCCAGAAGCTTCCCAGAAGTGGTGTTTCAACAGGCAGGGCTAGGAGGGGGAGTTACTGTCATTTCAAAAATGTGGTCTGTAAATGTGCAGACTTTAGCCAATTAAAGGAGAGGCTTTGCTACTCATTCTTTTATAAATTGGTCAGGGAGCTGCGGGCTCTTTTAAGGACAAGGGGGGAACAGTTATTGTTAACCCGTGAGAGTCTCCGAGTCAGCACATGCTTTGGGCAGTGAGATTATTGGACAACTGCGTTACTTTGTTTTCTGTTTTAGAATAACCAAGGGACTGAGTGAAAAGATATTTGCAAAACCAGAAGAACCAAGAAGAACCACTGAAGAAGTTGGAGAAGATACAGGTAGAGTTAAGTGATTTAGGTTGTTCAGTTGAATTGCATCTTTAGAACTTTGGCAAATCTTAGTTTAATCTCCCAATTATCTCTTGTGTGATCATTATCCACACAGATATTTATGATATCTGGTGGGTTACCTTGGTTCCACATACTATTTATGATATGAATTTGATTACCCACCTTTGCTTCTGTTCATTTCTTATAATTAAATCGGTAAGCCAACTTCCTTTAAAACAAAAAAAAAA